AAATTTCCATCATTTTTGAATGGCAGCACTTCAGACATATTTATCGGACCAGAGTCGCCTGTGCCGCGAAGCGGTACTTCTTGCCTGCCACAGAAAAGGATTGTTTCTATTATTGGCAGCAAGTTCTTGCGGTTTTCTTCCGCCAGCTTTTTAAGGCCGTGGTCAAGTTGTATTAAGATGTCATGCTGTGAGCGGGACCGGACTGCTAAAAAGTTCTTCGATAGCGTTGTTGACATGGCGTGACAACTGCTGGATGCGTGGCTCTTAAAGGCGTCCATGGCTTTCTTGTAATTGGTAAACTCCTTAGTTACAAAACAGCCCAAGCGCTGGTGCTCCCCTTTTCCTGCACACTCGCTTGCGAAGACTACGCAATATTTGTATAATGCTCCTTGAAGCTTCTCTGAATAAACAAGCCATGGGTAACAATCTACCCAGTGAGCTTGGAACTTCAGATTCCTTTTCCCTGTGGCTGAATAATCATAGTTAGCCGGAGGGGTCCACGGATTGAGCAGCAGCTTCTCCATCGTCTCTGGATCATTTACATTATTGCTTTTCGAGACAAACAGTCCCAAGTCGAAAATATTCGCACTCGTCGCACAGAGGGGAGGCGAACCAGAATGTGTAGGTGCCATGCCACTCACCTTCCTTGGGCATTGTCCAGTGGTAAAGGCGTCACTTTGCCCAGCGTTGACTGTAGAACAAAGATCACTTGGAGGTCACTGCGGCCACCATCATTTCCCGGCGGCGCATGGGTGTCCTGCTTGTGTTCGTTCTCAGGTGATTCATATAAACCGGTGCATTCTCCTGAGTCGCTACAGAAGTTCGGACACGCTTGGCTTTCCACCAGTGCTGAGGAGGGCGAAGTTTTATTCTTCGAAGGAGGCGGTTCTTCTCCGTCCACTTCATCGGTTCGAACTTTCTTGAAGTAAGACGCAATACTCCTTTGCTTCGTTGTTGCAGAGTGTCTTTTCATTTTGCTGCCGCAATCCTGTGCACGCACACAGAAGTGGCCAGTGGCTCCAAAAAGACGTTTGCGACTGCTTCGACCGCCTGGCATGAACGGCGGGCGATGTTTTCTTCCTCTCTTATTCACTTTACAGTGGCTAGAATGTAGAATTGTGATGAACGCGCCGGCTCGCGCGTGGCGCATGTGTTTTCTGAACGCCGCTACAGCTGGTGTGCATGCAGGCCCATTATTGTACTCCAGCTGCAGCAAACTGGATTAACGCTACTTAAAGACCTTTTCACAAAGACTCCATGGGCACTGCATACTCCCCTTAACATACGTGAACCCCCAAGAATGCACTGCCGAGACATTTGCACTCCCATGGTACAGTCCAGAAAGGAGGTGTTGCTCCGTTTCTGTGAAAAAGTCACCTTTTCACAGACGGTTCCCTGGGCGCCTGCATAATTTTCTCTGGGCTGCACTAATTAAATAGCCGTGACCCCCCAAAAATGCACTTTGTAGGCTGTGACGTCAGCCTCTGTACTGCTGCGCACAGCCCAGCTTGGCGGCGTTTTTTTTTTCTCTTGTGAAAGTTGACCGCTGGTGCCGGATTGTGTGCCGGCTGTATCCTCGCCTTGTGCGCTTTGTAGGGAGGCGCATATACCTTCTGTGTACAGAAGAAGTAGATTTCCTTGCGTGTGGTTAAGGTTGTTCGAAGTTGCTCGGATATGCCAGTCTTTCAGTAGATGTCATCTTCGATGATTCAGTTTCGGTGGCGAGGTCTACAGTTTGAGAAAAGTTTGCTTTGCAGCCTGCGTCCTTGGAATGCGCCGCTGAGTTTTTCCGCTTAGGGGTTTCGTTCTTTGGCAAATTTGCGCACTTCGTGTTGGTGTTGCCGTTGCTGTCGAACTGTTTACCTTCACAGAAGTAGACGCGCTTTTCGTAGGAACCCAAAGCCGACACGTGCAGTCCGCACAGACGGATAACTTCTCCAGCGGCAATGCACAAGGAAAGCATCTAGAATCAATAAAGGAGCTTCTATGGTGTGAAAGACGAAAAAAAAAAAAAAAAAAAAGACTCGAAGGAACGTGAGGGCGAAGTGCAAAGCTGTACAAATAGGGCAGGTGCGCGTGCGGGGGAGGGAGCGCTGAGGTGTTCTGGTAAAAGGGTAGGTTTGAAGAAAGGAAGAAGAGGGAAGCAATGCCAGGAAAGTTGCAGTGTAACTTTGGCAGCTGGTGGTCGCTGTGAAGGCGTGTAAATATTTTAGTATCACCTGAAAAGTTAAAGCATCAAAAAAATTTCGGGGGGATCAGAACCCCCTCATCCCTCCCCTAGTTACAGGCCTGATCCTGTCTATGCGCTACATGCCCGGCCCACGTCCATTTCGTTTCTTGATTTCAACTACGATGTCCTTAACCCCAGTTTGTTCCTGATCCACTCTGCTTTCTTCTTGTCTCTTAAGGTTGCACCTACCATTTTCTTTTCCATCGCTCGCTGCGTCGTCCTCAATTTAAGCTGAACCCTCCTTGTAAGACTCCAGGTTTCTGCTCCGTAGGTAAGTACCGGCAAGATGCAGCTGTTGCTTGCGGTACTGCATGTACCGAGTTGCTTGCTGTTGCTTGTATAAAATTCTTGCCATCACTTTCACTGCTTCGCTCTCACCACAAAACTGATTTTTTTTCACATGCAGTTTCGCAAAATGGAACCACATGTGCCTGGGCCGCATTACTGCTCTTCAAATCAAGAGTTTGACAAGTTTACATGGCTTTACACCAGTGTTTAGGAAGCTACAATGATATGAGAGTGCAGCTGCTCTGAAAATTCAACAATTTGCAAGGAAGGTAAAAAATTCCCAGAGTTTCAAGGGCCTTCAAAGCGTATTTTTCCAATTCAAGGGTTTTCAAGAATTCCGAGGACCTGTATGCACCCTGCAGCAATGTACAGAGTACAAAAACCTACACACATCAATGTGGCAAAGAATAAAATTGGCAGATCACACGTACAGTGGGAATCGATGATATGTGAAGCACGAATAACGAAGGTTGATATGTCTTTTTAAAATCAGCACAACGTTACGAGGCGGAGGTAAGTTATGCCGTACACGACTTCTATATCATGATTATCATGTTTGGATGTGTCATTTACTTCGTCATCTATTCATGTCACCTGATACTAAATTTGATATTTATGGAGCTAACGAAACGGCCGCGAGCATGCTATGAGTGTACCGTGTAGTCAAGTTTTACATGACGTGCATGCCATGATTATTATGTTTGGACGTGTCTATTAACTTCGTCATCTACTCACGTCCCGTGATACCAAATTTAGTATATGTGGAGTTAGCAAAATGACCGCGAGCGCATCATAAGTGTGGTATGTAATCATGTTCTTACATGACACGTGTGTCATGATCATCATGTTTGCACCAGTCATATACATTCGTTAACCATTGAGATCACGTAACACCATACTTGGTATATGTGGAGCCAGTTAAACAGCCTCGAGAGCATCAGGAACGTGGTGTGTTGTCATGTTCCTAAATAACATGCATCTCCTTATTATCAAGTTTGCACCAGTCACATACCTTCGTCATCCATTCACGACCTGTAATACCAAATTTGGTACATGTGAAGCTAGCGAAACGGCCGCGAGCGCACCATGAACGTGGCGTGTAGTCATGAGCATGATTCGCAAGACATGCATGTCATGATTTTCATGCTAAAGCCTGTCACTTGTGTTTGCCATGTAGTCATGTCATACCATACCAGTTTTTCAACATGCAATGTGAGCGAAACCACCGCAAGAGTAGCAAGACCATGAAATGTAAATTATGACATTCATGACATATTTATCATGATAATCATGTTAGGACTACTCAATTATGCTCATCATACAGTCATGTTATGCCATACCAAATCTGGTATCGATACCATTCACGCCAGGAGAGCTAAATGCCGTAGTCAGCTAGATAGATAGATAGGTAGATAGATACGCTCAAAGTCACCGAAGTTCGCTAATAAATGCTCCCAATTTAAAAAAGAAGTCTGATGCTTATGCCACCTGTAATCTAAACGCGAGGGCACACGAAGCTGCATTAGGGCCTCCAAGATTTGTGCACACAATCTCAGATGCCAAGAATCCTCAATGAAGGTTTATTCTGATCCAGGTGAAGGGAAAGTATTCTTCTTACATTGCGAGTCTGACGATGCTCACGCTTGGGCACCTGCGCACGTGCGCGTTTGTCATGTTTTTTGCAACAGTGCAAACAGCCTCTCCTCACACATGCACAGTAAGGTACGTTTGTATTCAATGTTCTGGGGTGAAGAAGTGGTTCGCAACAACTGCATTCATTGCATAGCAGGCCAATGGCCCTTGGCTGGAATAAAAAAAATTTATATCACCCCCAAATTTGTAAGAGCTGTGATCGTATCACCAAGGTTTTGCTGTAAGTACAGTTATGAATGCATCTTCAATATTTTGTTGAGTTCACATGCCAAAACTATACAAATATGAAAAGAAAAAAATTCTTGCATCTGCGGTGTCACAGGAGCGAATCATAAAGAACACTAAACCACCGGTCAATCACGGCCCCAGCAACAACCTATAGTTCAGAATTTTTTATATCAAGCTTTTTTGAACTTCTGTATTATAACGATATGATTGCGAGGCATGCCACAGTGCAGGACAATTGAAACTCCCAACATGTGGTGTTCTCTAACATGCACAGACATTGCGCAGAACATGGGCCTCCAGCATTTCACGTTTACTGAAATGCGACCACATGGTCGTGATCAAACTTGTAACCTTTCGGTTAGCGAATGAGCACACCAACCACTGCTGCACCATGGTGGATGACTTCATCTTGCAGCATGTGCTAGTGATATATTTTCAAAACTATGCTAGTTAGAATGTCAGATTAGTGAAAAAGCATGAACGAAGAACAAGGAAAGTAAAATAAGATGGCATCTTTCGAATGCTCATCTTGTGCTCATTTCTCTTTATCCAGAATACTTTTTTCTATTCATGATAGTGAAAGCATGCAGAGGTCACTGACCTGTGTGTGTCCCGACAATCTTGCCTGTCTCCACGTCGATGAAGTATCCAGACCTTGGCTCCAAGTAGTTCTCCACAAAAGCCCGAAAATCACGCTTACCAATAAAGCAGAGACCCATGCCCTGTGCAGAAAGAACAAATCAAATACCCGTTACCTTCATTTTTCAAATGAAGGTAACGGGTATTTCAAATTGATCAAAAAATGAATTGACCTTCTTCATTTTTCCAATTCATCCCCCCCCCCTACAGATCATTGAGACATCATAGGTTTTTGACTTATGCACACTGACATGCCTATATGATTTTCAAGGCAACTGCAACTGGGTTTTGCTGGCTAACAGCTATTAACCTAAAAGATCAGGCTATTAGGTATTTCACAGCACAAGATATTGAACGCGCGAAAAATAAATGAATGATTAAGTGAGAGAAGCTTGTTAGTATGCTCTAGCACGCATGCAGGGAATGGCTGCATCAGCCAATGCTTTCTCTCTCTTTTTTTTTTTTCAATGCCAGTGCAAATGTTTGTTTCTCCAATGGGAACTATCGGTTCACCTAGGTTCAGGGAGTGGTTGAGATGCAACTCCACACAAAGGATATGGCTGCTTGGGTCCTACGCACATCCGGGCACTTTCCCAGAAGGATGTGATAGATACGCTTTCACCTTCCAATATCATGCATCCATCAGGTTTCTTTTTGGCTTGATGCAATGCTGCCACCTCACAGGGCTTGTGTGGAACCTCTTGAAGGCAGCGCATGCGGAAGCATCGCAGTGATACCTCCCCATTGGTTTCCCATGTAACAATGCAAATGGAGACGGACTATCTCATAACACCATCTCTCTTACAGAGCCAGCATGACTGCCAACATAGTGAACATGAGGGATATAAGACACCAACCCACAGATCTGTATACAACTGAAACAAAAATTATATCATTTGATTACTGTCATGAGGCACCACCTAGAGGGTGCTCTCTCTCATGAACGCAAACCACATGCAAAGGCTAGATGATGGGCGAGAGTTGTAGAGGGCGTGGTGAATGGCTGGACAGGACTTACCTATCTGGCTGGCATTGAAAAAATAGAGGAGGTGCATCAGCCCGCCAGCAGTTTAGTTACGGGACAAAAAGTGCAACTATTTGCTGAGCATATGCAGCAGCATGAAGTGAGGTTGTCGGATGAGGGCATAAGGCCACTAGTTTTTAACAATGTTGTAGTGGTTTCTGACTGTGTAGACACGGGCACAAAAAGAGTGCTCCCCGCTTGCAATCATGGCTACTAGCGACACTGAGCAACACTCCTCCATAGAACATCGGATGCATTATTCGAAGGTTGCAGGTTCGGTCCCTGCCCAAAGCAAGTTATCTTTTCACCCACTTTTCTTTCTTCACATGTACATGACATTTACTACTAAGAACATCCCCTATACTTTCCTTGGCAGTGTTGCCTGTTAGTTTAGAATAGAATAGAATAGTTTATTTCGGACATATCTACATAATACCACGAAATATCTCCACAAGGCAAGGCAAAAGGAGACTCGTACATTTTGTGATGAGGCCTTACATTACACTTCCGGTAATGTTTGCATTGTTTAGGTTTAACAATTATACGAGGTATACAAAATGCACAAGTACATAATTTTCACATTCATTGCAAAACAATTGAATATTTAAAGGAGGCAGAAAAAGTTGCTTAACTTGTTTTTTAAAACATGAAATACTTGAGTTTTGATTGGCCAATTAATATTAGGAATAAATATTCATTCAACAATGAAACATAGCATTAGTACTGTAATAAGTCTTTGATCTTAATCCCGTCAATAAAATAGTATGCAGGTCATGTGTCATTTTTCTGTTTAGATATTCATTTGAGAACATGGTATGATCATGTTTGAATTCACGGAAAATTATTGTTGCCAAAAAACTGATATGAATTTGAGAATGATGGCACGCTCAGAGTTTTATACAGAGTCTTTTGATGGGAAAGGATGGGATGAAATCATTTTCAAGTTTTTTTTTCTGTAAAAAGGAAACGCGTTCGGCATCAGTCCTGCTGCAAGTTAACTAGACAAGGTGACAATATATTAGATGGGAATGATTAAAAGCGAAATCTAATTGTTTTCTAATGCACAATGGCAATAAATATTTTAGCCTGTATAACATACCAAGACACCTCAATAACTTAGCACGAACATGATTTATGTGCTCACACCAGCTGAGGTCAAACCTAAAAATTAGGCTTGTGCGAAAAGTGAATTTTAGGTTCGAAGGGAATTCCAAGCGAATAGTGATTATGGTCGAATAATTTCGAATCAAATTCCAATACTAGTATATGTGACATATAAAAAAATTGGCATATTTATCATGGCCTATGTAACCAGCAAAATATTTCTTGAAAATATAAAAGAAGGCCTCTATGCAAAAGCCTTTTTTTTTTCACTCAAAGAAAGTGAAAACAATGTTGAGTAGTAGCAGGGTACGTCTTTCGGTAGGATGCAAGTGATAGCTTGTAAAATGCGTAACATTTTGAAATTTTTTATGCCTAAAGCATATAAGCCAGCATACCAAGCTTCTAAACTTTAAAAAAAGAGAAATCGATTTGGGGGTAATGTGTTCATCAAAAGGGAACTTTGCCATTCTTTGGATATTCATCGATTTTAATAAAATTTTGAGCATGTGTTCTTGTTCGTACCGTGGTGATATGCGCCAAATTATACAACTGTAAGTAACTTAATTTTTAATAAAACGAATGTTAAATTAGTAGTCAATTTTAGAATGACACTTGTAAATGTGGGCCACCCTGTGTTTGTGATGTAAGTGCCTACTCTTTCTCAAAAACACCACCTTTCCTAGCAGACGGATGCAGCGCACACTATTACAAGACAACGACGATGTGAGCACAGTTCAGTTTTGTCAGCTGCATAGAGCGTGTCATCCTTGACGTCGGGTCTTACAATATTGAGCAACGAGGAGGTAGATTCGAAGCACGTCAACGTCTTCATGCGCTGGCAGGTGAAAATCAAAAAGTGATGCTTCAGTGCTCAGATAGCAGCCCAATCGTTGCTGAACTTGTCACTGGTAAGTTCAGACGAGCTGGCACAGCTCGATTCCGCATCTGATGACATCACCAATTTGCTTTTCACGCGTCAAAAGAGACACGACCTATGTTCTCACCCTGGCTAGCCGGTGTTACGCAATAGCGGATCTCATGACATCACTGGAGACGGACTTTTGTGACATCATCCGATACCCACCATAGAGGACAGAGTAGCTCCCTGCTTCGGTTTCTGTTTTGACTGATCTTTCATTGCCTGTTTAAATTATTGATGAGTACCTGGGCATAATGGGAATGCTGCTGAATTGGTACTCAAATATTATTGGGGCCTTTTTCCTAGTGATTCCTAATAAAACTGTTTTCTGTACATTTAGCGGCGTATCCCAAGAGTGGCACCAAGAACTTGTGTTATCAATTGCTTGTTGGAGCAAATCTTGGTCGCTAGTAGAAGAAATAAAAAAAAATAAAGCAGTCATCAGCTAACAGCCTTACTCATTTATATATTAAAGTTAACAATAGCCTCAAAACACTATCCTGTGGCACACCTGAGCGACCAGGAGGCATGCGAGTATGGTTACCATTATAGTCTATAAATTTTTGTCTGTTGCTAACGTACGATGCCGTTCATTTATTGAGATGAGCCGGCAGACCGGCTTATCTCATTTATTGCAGCTTTGCCAGGGTCATGATCACCTTGGCAAGGCTGCAATTGATGTCGACCTTGCTTGTAGCCAGTTTATATGCCTACATCATCAAGAACTGCCACCTTGGCATTGCTGAAGCAACATTTTGATCTGATTCTCTGATTACCTTTTGCTGAATTTACAAGAATCCCAATACCTGGAAGTAGTTTGTTCACAACTGGATGCAGGAAATCAGAAATTTGAAAGAATATACTCGATGGAGATTTTGTCTGGGCAAAGACTTCCCCATAAATACTGTGACTCGAGGCTTGACTATACACAAACAGAGTCGGTCACAGTTGTGGTGTTGTGAACCCGGATGACTTGTCAGGTGTCAATACACTAGTTCTGATGTGAATTTGGAGGAAAGCTTGACCTATCCATGCTAGTCATTATACATGTTTTGACCTTGTGTTTCAATGTGTGATACCAGCGTACCCATGTGAACCCTTAACTATCATGCGACTTTTCTGTGTGTCAGTGCCGTATGATGGAATAAAGTAGGAAAAAATCTTTTTGTAGGCATGTGCTTTGAGGGCATGCACTTGTACTCACCTTTTTTGGAAATTAATTTAACCATGGCAAAGATACACAGAAAGATCTTAAGATAATTATTTGTCCGACTGTACATAGCCATGGATAGCATTTGAAATAAGAACCCGCACTATATTTCGTATTGGACATATTTTGGGTGACATGTGCCTTGTCTGTCAGCACTGTCTCTTGTTTTATGTCCTTTACCTGTTTTGCCGCATTAACCTGCCGTGGTGGTGTTGTAGCTAAGGCACATGGCTGCTGACCCGCAAGTTGCGTGATCGAATCCTCTCCACTGTAGCCACATTTTTGCCATTCAAAATGCTTGAGGCCTGTGTGCTTAGATTTAGGTGCATGTTAAAGAAACCTAGGTGGTCAAAATTTCTGGAGCCCTTCACTATGGCGTCTCTCATAATCACATGGTGGTTTCGTAACGTTAAACTCCAACAATTATTGTCAACTGGACCAACTATCTGCATTTCTGATGGAGGCGGAAATGCTGTAGGCCCATGTACTCAGATTTGGGTGCTCGTTAAAGAACCCCAGGTGGCCAAAATTTCCAGAGCCCTCCACTACAGCGTCTCTCATAATCATATGGTGGTTTTGGGACGTTAAACCCCACAAATCAATCAAATCATCAACTGGACCAACTATCCATTGCAGGATATGGTGTTGTTAGTGTGTTCATGCACAACTGGCACAGTCGTGATGCTGGTGAAAGCTGTGTTCTCGATGCAGAAGAGAGTGATGTACAGTGTGTGTGACCACCTTGAAATACCAATGAAGTTAGCGTACTTTGTCAAGACATACTGGCACAACGTTTTCAGGTGATTGTGTGGCTTAGTGAACTTCTGGTTAACGAGCATTTTAGT